GTAGATTTTGAGTGTTTAAAGCAAAATCTTCTTTAAATGCTTCCTTCCTCATTCTTTCCATATTTTATGGTACTATTTTTCATTCTGAATTAGCAGCATCTTTGAATTATTCTCATTTCACCAAAGTCATCTGTTGTAATGATATTATTACTTGATAAAGTACAATGTCATTTAATTAACTCCTCACCTCCTGGAAAAATTTTATGTGATCCCATGTATTTATTCAACCCATACTTAGTGGATGCCTAGTATATGCCAGGCACAATGTTAGACATTGAGAAGTAGATTAGTTGCAGAAAAATTGTTGCACCAGTTGTTCTATTTCTACTGTCTCCATTAGAGAATGTTTTTCATTATTTTTGAAAGAACTTTGCAGTGGAATAGCTAATGTGTTATGTTCGGCATGATTTCCTTTTCATGACACTCCCTAATCATTTCCCAATATTGGTAATGTGAGAACATGTGAGTCAATTGTCTTTGAATTCATTTTTAAATGATTCATGGAGATAATCATCTCAACAGGAAAATATGAAGCACTTATATTTTATTTCTTCATATTAGAGGCCCCTTAAGTATACCTCTACTTAAATAAAATGCACCAGTGTTAATGTTTTCTGAAACATATTTAATCCAGTAGTAGTTTAGTTGACTTATCTCTCATCTCTATGAAATTCAACTTTTTTTCTTATTCTTTAGGACAAAACTTTTACTTGAATGCATTGTTTCAGGTGTATCAGTTGAAATACAAATAGAGCTGTTGCTATATATGACATTTATAGCATCAAAAATGAGATCCAATTCTTCTGTGTATGTTGAAAAAAAAACTGATTTGAAAATCAATAGGTTTAGTTGAATATATGGGGACATAATAAGGTCTTGAATGTAGCTGTAGTGCTCTACTCCATATTATCTCATAATTCTGAAGTTACACATCTTTCTCAAGATGTAAGAACAATGTAGTATGTACTGAATATTTATATGAGAGCACACTAACTTTGTATGTTCTTTAAAGTCTACTCTTGGAATTTCTTTCTACATTGAAATTTAAGGCTTGATTAGTGCATAGAAAGTATACATCTAGGAACATTATGCTTATTTCTACCAAATATAAAGTTTCATTATTTTTTGAAATAAATAATTAACTTATTTTAAACTCTTAGAGAAATGGGATGAGCAAAATTTTAAAAGTGATCATTATTCTTGAAACTTCCTATGTTAACCCAAATTTAGAACTAAGAAATATACACTTTAATAGCTTATCCCCATAAGACATTTCTCTACAAATTATAGTTTGCATCTCATATGATCATAACATTAAGCTTGAAACTTAACAATTCTACATCATTTTTCATGCTTAAAACACCTTGGAAAAGCATTAACTAATTAATCGAATTAGATAACAATTCTGTTATGAGCTGAACATTATATTGAATCATTTGCTGCAGAATATCAAGATGGCATACGTACGGATGTCACTTTTGAAGTAATGATTATAGCCATGTGCAGTAAAGTATTTATTACCTTATCTAATTAATACACATTTTGGCATGTCAGGGTTTGTGGGTAATTATAGTTTTCTATTGCGGTAATAATTTGTATGATTTATGAAGCCTATGAAACAACAATGTGAGCCAAAAAGCTGTCTGGAATAATTACAGTTAAGCAGTGTGATCAACAGGTATGCCCAGCCAAGAGAACACAGCCCTGGGGATAAGATCCTCAAACAAACAGAAGCGACTGGAGCTGTTCACTTCTCAGCCTGCTTTTTCTCACCTGAAAAAAAATGGCCCACCCACCGTTCTCAGCTGTGTTAACAAAGCACTGATTGCTTAAGTCTAGGTGGTTATTTTCCAAAGGTTCGTGTGCTAATGTGGAGGACTTCATTAAAAAAGAAACAATCATGGATCAGGTAAATTTTCAGTTATTTCAAGGAAGACTGAATGTCGACACATTTCATTTGTTTAAGAATGGCAATCCCTTCTGTGGCTACCAAAAACTCTTACCTAGAATCTGAATTCATTCTACTCCAGTTGGTGATAGAACACTCTTCACCTTGCCATGCTGGCCATTGCAACAGGCTCTGAGTCTGGCTTCCTTACGGAAGCAAGATACCTATAGTCATTGTCCTAGTGGGAATATAAAATAAAGTTTGTCTCACAAGAATTTTGCTCACGTAAAGGAACTGACTATCCAGAAACTTAAGAGTTGGAAAAGAACCCAACTACCACTATCCACATTTATATAATAAATTTTAGGAAGTTGGTGAGTTGTAGGAGATCTACAGGTTATTCTTTATTGGACATTGGTTTTGTTTTGCTGAGTCTACTTTGACCTTCCCATCAGTCATTTTGTTTTGCTTCATATGAATATCCTCAAGGTATGTAATGTTTTAATTGGCTTTCAGCACATACACTGAAGCAGAAGATCCTATCTCACGGAAAGAAGCAGCTGTAAATTTCTGTGAACTGTTCTCAATACGAGGGGAGTTCTTAAATTAGTTTGATCTTTCTCAGAAAGACTAACACATTTATATCTTGCAGGAGTATATTGAATTTTTAGTTATTAACGCCAGGTAGAGCCAGGTTCTTACTGTCTTTTTATACTGGAAGACTAAAAGATAACATCAAATAATACTGACCGTTGAAAGCAGTGTCATAGGATATTCCACTTTAAAATTAATGCTATATTGTAGAGTCAGCAATCTATAGCCTGATAGTCATTTTTGTATAAGTTGGAAAGTTATACTGCATAAGAAGGGCAACAGCTCCACAAGTGGTCTGGAATGGAAATCAGGAATTTCTCTTGACACATAACTAAGCAGTCACCTTTATTGACCCCAAATTTATCAGGACTCGTTTTATGGTGAGTCAAGGCAAAGAGAGAAAACAGATGAGATAGATCAAGGATGCGAATTGGGGCCTAGAGAATCTGTAACACATGCCAATCTCAACCCTTGGTGACAAATTGTCTTTGAACTGTCAAGCCTTCTCTCACAATGGGTTAATCATCATCTAAAATGAAAATCCCTCTCTCTGACTTGCAAAATATTTGTTAGAGGAAAAAAAGTGGAATAAACACACACACACACACACACACACCACACACACACACAAACATAGTGAAGAAAATTTTTTCATTCCAGGCTAGAAGCTACTTTTGGTAGAAAATTTTTGGGAGAAGTAAAACATTAGAGAAAAATATCCTTACTATTTGAATCCTAAAGTTACATTTAGGCTTTTTCTATTTTACTTGGCACAGAAAAAGTTCAGGTCAAATGGTACTTCTAGGAAGAAACAACGTTTGTGCTGCTAAATGTTTGAAGTAGAATTTTAGAGACAGATATTTGAGTAATTAAATCCATTCTGCCCCTGGGCTTAGCATGCAGGCAACATCCAAAACACCCATTCCCTTGCCTCCTCCTCTCTGTTCTAACGCGGCAGCTTGTCCCCTTCTCCCACCCACAGAGGCAGACACACATGCTTCCTGTAGCTTCCTGTAAATGACAATGGCCCAGTAGGTTAAAACCCCTCCAAGAAAACAAACAAACAAAAAAGGTAAAATAAAGTTCAGAAATCTAAAGGTCAAAGAGTAGAGTGAAACCAAAAGCTATGTCAGGATATTAAGAGGAGGTAAAAACAGGGTGAAAACATACTGTTAATCTCCATGATTACAACTTCATTTTACAGTTTGCTGCTCATCATGGATGAAGACAAACAGTTTGGTGAAACTGAGGTTGGAATTATGTATGTGTAGCATGGATGTATATATGCATATATATGCGCGCACACACACGTAAACAAATATGCTGTTGCACATTTAATCTTGTATGAGCTTTTATGTATAGCTTATGCATAAAAACTAAGATTATGCATTAAAAACATTTTATATTTTCTACAGTTTTTGCTGTCATTTCCAGGCATCACTCATGTCTTTTCCTTTTTTGGTAACTATAAGCTTATTGGTTAACTTCTATTTCTTTAATATTTGCCACTTACCAAAATTGATGCTGTTATTCAAAGGATATATTTTATGAAAATTTCAATTAAGGCTATATATGTATAGTAATTTGCTTTTTCAAATTATGGGTGTCCTTACAAAATTGATTTATTAACTATATACCCTATTTTATTTTAAAGTTTAACCATATGCTTTAAAATAAAATAAGGTGTATGGTTAATAAATACAGTTTATTTATTTATTTTTGAGACAGGGTCTTACTTTGTCACCCAGGCTGGAGTGCAGTGGTGCAATCTTGGATCACCGCAACCTCGGCCTACTGGGCTCAAGTGAGCCTCCCAGCTCAGCCCCCTGAGTAGCTGAGACTACAGGCACAGCCCACCAAATCCCAATACTTTCTTCTGTATTTTTTGTAGAGACGGGGTTTCCCCGTGTTGCCCAGGCTGGTCTCAAACTCCTGGGTTCAAGCGATCAGCCCACCTGAGCCTCCCAAAGTGCTGCGATTACAGGTGTGATATTTATCATAGACTTTAAAAATATTAAAGTCACTGCTTTCAAAAATATGAAGCTGTTAATGTTATTTCCCAGAATCATTTACACGTGGACAAGTCGCGTTCACCTTGTCCAGTTATTTTTTTCCACCACTAGTTTCGTGTTTAATTGCATTATCTGGTAATGTCGTTCTATGAACGTACTCTTGCCAAAGGCGCTAACAAAGCTGAAAATGAACACGGTTTATACCTGTAGTCAACAGGCTCAGTGTTCTTCCTTAAACGGTGACCAAACTGGAGGTGTTGCTGGGAATTACACTGCCTCTTCTTTCCAGGAACTGTCTTCTTTCACCTCAAGAGGCAAAGGCTCTGTTTCATTTTGTTTTGCTCTCAATAGCTTCTCTCACAGGGAATAAAAACACTAAAATCTTGTGTATCTTTAGGCATTTTTTTTTCAATTTTCCAGAAAATTATTCTCTGAAGAGTAGTTTCCTTGCTTTGAAGATGCAACTCTTTCGACGTTAACTCTTTTCATTACTCACTTTTTGGCAGTGACCCCCCTAAAACAAGAAAAAAGATGAAGATGAACAACCTGAACTGGACTCCTGCCAAGTCCACAAACAGATTTTGCAAGTGAGATGATGACGCATCGCCAGAAGCATTGTAGACTATTGACCTTGGTGTTTCTTTATTTTTTATATTTTGAGACAGGGTCTTGCTCTGTCACCCAGGTGGAGTGCAGTGATGCAATCATAGCTCACTTCAGCCTCCCAAGCCCGAGTGATCCACCTCAGTCTCCCGTGTAGCTGGGACCACAGATGCCACCACTACACCCTGCTTAATATCTTTTCAAAATTTTTTTTGTACAGATAGAGTCTCACCATATTGCCTAGGCTGATAGAGTATTTTTTAATTTTATATTTTCTATCAGTTGGGGATGACGATGAGGTCTGATTTGATTCTTTCTGAATTTCAGTAGCTTTATCATCTACATGTGTCTTCACAGTGTGTTTTTAGAGTTTGCTTTAAAATTCTTCTTGAGGTATGTTTTCTACCTCCTGACCATAGAAGTGAAACAGGTAGATTGCAAGTCATTAAATGTATCCAATAATTTTGATTCTTTAAAGCTCTTACTCAATTTTACTCTATGTACTGCAATTAAATTCATCTGATAATCCTCATACATTGCTGATTTACCAAATTAAATAAATGATCTCACTGAGATGTGTTATATTTGTTTGCTGCCAAATTCATGCAGAGTGCTTCTATATCATTTAATGTTGGAGAGTGCTTCAACATGGATGGTAAAGTGGATAATCATGGTGATTGGACAATTCAAAGGTATTAAAACACCTGTTCCACAATAATTTGAATCTGTTCCATCAAACTTTTGTTTGGGAATTTAAAACTACTTAATTATATGGTTAAATAAAACACATTTTTATCTTTCTTTAGTGTATGATAGACTAAGTAATATTAGAAGTTGGGTACAGTAAATCTTGGAAAAACACCATTTAAAGGAAAATATAGTAAGATTTTAAAATGTTAAGATTTTAAACAATGGTCCAACCACATTAGAAAGCAGCTTAGAAATTTCTTAAACAGACTTACAGTCTATACTAGCCCTGTAAGTCCTAGATATTTACTCAAAAGAAATGAAAGTATATTTCCAAACAAAGACTTGTGCATAAATATTTATGGAAGTTTTATTTGTAATAGCTAAAACTGGAAACAAACTAATTGTCCATCAACAGATGAATGCACAAACAGTTGAAAACTGTTTAGTGATAAAAAGAATGAATTATTATTATATACAACACTGAAGAATCTCAAAATGATTATATTGAGTGAAAGAAAATGCAAACTAATTTGTAATGATGGGAAGCAGATCAGTGGTTGCCTGGGGCTGGGGTAGGAAGTAGTGGGAAGAGAGTTTACAAAGGGGCAGGAGGAAATTTTGGCGTGATGCATACATTCAATACATAATTTTGGTGACAGTTATATGGATGTATACATACTTCAAAACATCTAATTGTATGCTTTACACATTGACAGCTTTTTGCATGTTAATTTTACTTTAATAAAGTTAGTTTTAAAAGGTAAACAATGGGTTTTTACCTAAAGGAAATAATTATATAAAAAAGATACCTGCACTTAGACATGTATTGCAGCACAATTCACAATAGCAAAGATGCAGGATCAACCTACGTGTCCATTAACAGGTTATTGGATAAAGAAAATGTAAATACACACCACGGAATAATTTTAGCCATGAAAAAGAATGAAATGATGTCTTTTGCAGCAACATGGATGGAACCATAGGCCATTATCTTAAGTAAAATAACTCAGAAACAGAAAGTCAAACACTCCATATTCTCATTTATCAGTGAGAGCTAAATAATGCATACACATGGACACAGAGAGTGGAATTATAGACATAGAAGACTCAGATGAGTGGGAGAGTAGGAGCAGTATGACGGATAACTGCAAAACAGGTGTTGCATATGTTATTCGAGTGATGGTTACACTAGATGCCCCGACTTCACCAGTAATATATCCATGTAATAAAACTGCACTTGCACCCCTAAATTTATACAAATTTTATAAGGTAAACAGAAAGAACACTATATACCACCTATATCCTTGTATCAATAAGCAAGTTTGGGAGAAATTGAGATGAGAAGACCCTTCATGACTGTGAAATGGGAGAGTTGATGCCTTCTTTAATGTCAAAATTGTCTGAAAATTTCTCATTGCAACCCTTCCTTCATCACGGCAAAGGGTGCGGGGAGGGCAAAGGCACTCAAATTCTGAGAAATACTCTTATAGGGGAAAATAGCGATAAGATCCAAAATTCCACTTGCGTTGATCTTGTAGGTTCAGCCATTCACTTATTCACTCATTCATGCAACCAAGTGTTTGTCAGGTGCCAACGGTGGGCCAAATATTGTATTCTCATTAGGGCTAGAAATGAAATGAAAACAGATGCCTTCCCCATGGCACTTATATTATAGATCAGGGAGAAAGATATTATCAAGTGCTCAAATGAATTAATAGTTACAATTGTAACAAAAGTTATTCAGGAGAGCTTCAGCATGATGTCAATGCCTATGTTTAGTGATTTTACCTAGTTAGGAAGAACTCAGAACCAGTCAGGATGGGGAGCTCAGGAAGCATCAGTTATATGTTTATATAAAATGCATGTACTGCATCTTATACATGATATACAAAATAATATAGCATATTATTATTACTTAGCATCATTGTCTGCTTAAATACAGAAAATCAAATGCAGAGAGACAGAGGAAACTAACATTTGTATCTGGCAATGTAGCCTGATATGGTTTGGCTGTGTCCCTACCCAAATCTCACCTTAAATTGTAATAATCCCCACGTGTTAAGGGTGGGGCCAGGTGGAGATAACTGAACCATGGGGACACTTTCCCCTGTACTGTTCTTGTGGTAGTGAATAAGTGTCATGAGATCTGATGGTTTGATAAATGGGAGTTCCCCTACACAAGTTCTTCCCTGCCTGCTGCCATATAAGATGTAACTTTGCTTCTCGTTCACCTTTTGCCATGATTGTGAGGCCTCTCTAGCCATGTGGAACTATGAGTCCATTTAACCTCTTTCTTTTATAAATTACGCAGTCTCAGGTATGTCTTTATCAGTAGCATGAGGACAGACTAATACATAGTCTATTAGTTATGAGTGGACTTTGAAGCAAGTCTCTCTCTTTGTGTGCTTTGTTTTGTTTTGTTTCATTTTGTTTTGTTTTTTGAGACAGGGTCTGACTCTGTCACCCAGACTGGGGTGCAGTGGCATGATCATGGCTCACTGTAGCCCCAACCTCCTGGGGTCAAGCAATTATCCTACCTCAGCCTCCCAAGTAGCTAGGACTACAAAACTGTGCCACCATTCCTGGCTAGTTTTTGTGCTTTTTGCAGAGACAGGGTTTCGTCATGTTGCCCAGGCTGGTCTTGAACTCCTGGGCTCAAGTAACCTGCCTGTCTTGGTCTCCCAAAGTGCTAGGATTACAAGTATGAGCCAATGAGCCTGACTGAACCCAGTTTCTTTGTGTTTAATTTCCAGATCTGCAGTTTGTTAGTTATGGACCTTACGAGAATCTCATTACTCTGTTAAGTCTTAGTTACTTCATGTGTAAAAGAATAATACAATGAATAAGGTCTTAGGGATTAAATAAGAGAATGCATAGTAACATTGAATAGACACTAGTCATTATTATTACTACTATAATAAAGATAATTTGTTATTTGTTCCCATGACATGTTTCATGCTTGTTCTAGTCACGGACTCAGGCATATACAAAAATTAAAGAATAAAACAAAACAAAAAATTGCCATGACTGAGGCTGTTGGCAGTTGCATCTCAAGCAGTAGTTTGTAGTTTTAGAAAAGGAACAGACATCCATAAATAATGTGAAGGAGAAGTCCGAATTCAGTTGTTGTGGTGGAAGACAAAGGTTGCAGGACAAGTCAATCATGCAATTTCTTGACCCTATTGTTATCTTGTGTGTGGGAAGAGGTATTTCTCACGGGACACTCATAAGAGTGATATGGTTTCCAAGTCACCATAAATGCCCGAGAATATGTCCTCAATCCACATGTTTACAGATAAAAGGAATTAAGTGTAATACTGATAGGATGGAGAAAATAAGAAATTTACTTTTTATCTAGGCTGTCATGTATTATTTCTTCCTTCATAGCCTGGATTATGTTTTCTAATATTGACAACGTTTTTCTATGTCTCATGTTCATTCATTTATTCCTTCATGCACCAAGTATTTTAAGGGCCTGTTATGCCCCAGGCCCTATTCTAGAAGCTGGTCTATATGGAGAGTATCTTCTCATAAGGTATTGTATGATTGACTATGCTCTAATATAGATTTTGGAGACCAGTTAATCATTTAATTTCAGTTTTACATAGACATTTATTCTAACTCTATTCTCTTCCAGACACTATGTTGAGGGTGCAAAATGAACTAGACAAGATTGTCTTGAGCCTTGTGGAGATAATTTAGTGAGAAAACCACATTGGACAGGCAATGACAAGTGTGATGAATGCACCACAGTTGCAAGGACAGGATGCTGTGGGAATGTACAGCCGGAGGAGTTCCCTGATCTTTGAGGTCAGCAAGCTGCTCACTGGTGAAGGGAATTTACTCTGAGAAATGGCTTTAAAAATGAAACCAATGTTGAACAATAGCTAGCTCCATACCTGACTCACACTGAATACTTTCCGATCTTGTTCCCCTTGCTTCCGTTGCCTGTAATGTTTGCGAACATTATTTTCTACAGTAAAAGATCTCAGGTCCCTTTCTATGGTGAGCACAACATCATATTCACCCTCCTGTTTTATTCCTTATAGCATCTGGCTCCATATCAGTTTGTTCTTATTACTGTTTAATGATGGTGATGATAGCAAAGGTGGAATAACTCATACTCCAAAGTGTTGATCAAGGATCTCAGTGAATAAGTGAGAAAGGCTGTATTTAATTAGAGTTATTTTTTCCAAGTAATTTTGAATATATTGTCTTTCCTTTTATGGCTTATGATGTAAATGTTTAAACCTATGGTAGAATATGTACATGTTTATACGCACACACACACACAC